CAGCCAAACTGTTCACCAGAAAATATATAGAATGGATTTAGTGACAGGTATCAAGGGTTATTCCCAGAGGACACTACAGCTGTACACCATTCAGTCTAAATATTTACTGAGGAGTACAGAAAAGTGAATGGTAGAGGCAGAGTCCCAGAGATTGGCTTAGAGGAATCTGCTTAATGAAAGCCTGTTTCTGCAGAGAAAAATGACTGTGATTGTTTTTTTAATGAAAATCAGTGTTCTCGTGCTATAGCAAATAGTGATTATTCATTCTCTATCCCTCTACTCTGCATTATTCATGATTTTGTGGCTTCTCCCTTGATATTCCAATCTCACCCTGAGTCTTCTCAGGGTTTGGGAGCTTTTGTGTCAGATAAACTGGTTTATAAGGTAGACTTTGAGGAACAAGTCTCGTTTAAATCTCACATAATATCCAAGAATGTTCTCCGGTATTTGACCTCTTTGTGGATGAAACAATACTCTTCAGACACAATAACCTTGGTGTTTCAAAGCTGTAACCAGCACCTGTGGAGTTTTCAAACAAATAGGTTCAGTGTTCCTTGGTGCAGTCTTCCTCACTGCTCCCACATTTAATTGCTTTGTAATTACACTTGTAAAACCTGCAACTGGATTACACATGGGGGAAAGAAAAAATAATTTTAAAAACCACACTTCAGAATAGGAGGGGATTTATGGGAGCTGCAAGACAAAGAAAAACCCACCTTTCTTTCTTTCTTCATTGTTGTCTTTGGAAGGCAGCCATCAAAGTTTCCTTGTCAGTAATACAGGGATTTGTAAATAGAACAAAGAGCTTCCTCACACCAAGGCACATTATATAACCCAGCGCCGTCAGCGTGTGTCTTCACAGGCAGTTCCCTTGAACTTTGCATCTCGCTCCTCCTGAGAACAGTCCTCCATGCCAGCTTGAACAGATGTGGTTTCCTTCAGGAAAGGTTTTCTGTTAGGGTCATTCTGACTTCCCTTTCAGAGTTTTCCAGCCTTGTGTGCTCTTTGCTCAAGGGATTACTGTGGTGGACACTAACTCCATGTGTTACTCTTAAGCTTCTCCTCACCTGCTGGCTGAGCTGAATGAGTGCTGAAATCTTTGTTCCACAGAAAAATCTGACATTTCATGTTTTCCTGAATCAGACCGGAAAGTTGCAATTTCCTGTGAACCCAAATTCTGAGAAACATTTCAGAAAGTGCAAAATGGCCCCAGCACAGCCTTTTGTTTGGGTGTTATCTACAGGTCTTTGTGAGACTTAAGCTGGCTTTAAACATATCATGTTCCAAGTGATCCCAAATGCAACCAGGCAGCACCCACTGTTCCCAAAGTCACTCAGGGAGCTGCGGTGCCTGCCAAGGGTGCTTTGCAAGAGAGAGGTGACACAGAGCCAGATGTGGTTTTCTCTTACCCCATGCATTATTTTAGTATTGCCACTCTTCAATTCCACCAGTGCACTCACAGACTTCAAGCTTACAAGGATTTTAATTCTTATTTTCCAGGCTCCTTGAAAAAAAAAAGGCTTTTATAGTATATCTCTGAGGGTACAACTCAATAGCTTGTACTGCCCTGGCATGATATTTCCAGCATATCGAGTGCATATTCAATAGCACTATTTTAAAGTTTAATTATTTAAGATGCTTTAACTAAATCAGGACACAAGGCTGTGCAGACCCTCTTATTTTAGTATCAATAGAGCTGGGTTTTCATCTCTGGTTGGTTAGAAGAGTTTTGCAAATGAACAAGGACAAGACATTCTACAGCCGATGTACATCACCAAATGCAAAAGTTCACACTGGTTAAACTAGGGTGGTATCAGCTTGTGTGAAGGCAGCTCTGAAACTGCAACAGCATAGTGGGAAAAGCAGCCCTGCCCTGTGAACAAGTGAGAAAAAACAAAAGCTGCTGCTAGCTGGTCTTCATGGAAAATGAAGTTTAAAAAAAAAAAGAAAGAAAAAAGAAAGAAAAAAGAGGTGGAGGAAGGAACAGAAGCTTCAAGAGCAAATTCTCATCAGACTGAAAATCAGTGTAACTCCCACATTGCAACACTTTGCAGGTCTAATAGACACAAAGCTGTTCCTTCACCCGAAAGCCAAACATAAAAGTCACAGAAACCCATCATGCCAATTCTGTGGCTGCTTTCCGGAGCAGAATCTCTTTAAATGTCAATGTTCCCTTTGTTCTGTGCACCCTTTATAATGAGTCTATCATCTGTTTGGTAAAAGATCCAGTGAAATATGTAATAAGGTTATCTCACCATCTCTCTCTATTGTAAAGTCATATCTCCTCTTCCACTCATTAATTATTGTCTTCCATTTCCTGTGTCAGATGTGAATCAGAAAATAGGGACTCAAGGCTTGCAAGCTTAGCAACTTACCATATATTAGCTGAGATGTGGTAACTCTCCATGTGCTCCCTCTTAAGCCTGTAATAAACAAAGCCAGTGTGACTTTGCTGTACACAGGCCTGCAGTCGATGCAGTTTGGATTAACCCCCTTTCATTGTCACCTAAGCTGACAATGATAGTGGCCATGGCTCAGCTGATGTTCAGTCCTCATATTGCAAGACTTTGCCTTTAAATCCTGGGAGCAGAGCTCTACCAATATAACTATCTGGAAAGCTATGATGATTTATGTGCTGTCAACATACGCTGAAAAAAAAAGGACAGAAAAGCAGCACAATTACATGATTATCAGCCAATGCCCCTTGGTTTGCAGTTTTTCAACCATGAACTGCTCAAACTTTGGATCAAGAAGTGAAGCAATCTGTTTCTCAAGTGCAAACAGGGAAAAGTTATATGAGTCTTATAGCAATTTCAGGCAAATATATCACAGAAGCAGCATGCTTAGCCTTTTTACTGTGCTTCTGTCTGAGGTTTCCAGTAAGATTTCCCTGATATATAGTAAGAGTCAAAACTCTAATCTCTTTTAGCTCTTTTTTATTGTCTCTGCAGCACTAACTTTGAAAAATGGCCTTGTCCCCAAAGAACTGCACACAGTCCATGTAGAGAAGCTGTTAAAATAAATGCTTTACGTAAAAAATATTGCAGACGAACTTGGCTCTGAGGGTTTTAGAGCTACAACATATAGATATAAACCAGAGCAGCTAAGTATGAATGGAGGTCATACTCCAGTAGAGAAGAAGGGAAGTTCCCCTATCTGACAATTGTTGCACATGATCTCTGAAAGCAACAATTCCTTCTCTTCTTTCTCAGGGCTGCAGCATTTTAATAAATGACTATTCTCATGTTAATGTCCTTCTGCCTTACTCCTCACTGACCTCAATGAACACCATGCTGATTCATAAAGTTTCTTCTTTCACTGGATTTGAGTGCTTTCTGGAGACCTTATTTGTGCTGTTCTGCCTGCAAGACATCTGGGTGATTTATAGAGACTGAATTTATAGAGACGAGCACAGTGTTGGCCGCCCTACCTGAATATTGTGTTTCCTACACATTGTGTTCCTATCTCTGCCCATGCCGTGGTCTGATTTTTGATAGTCTGTGTATTGTTCAAAGAAGACAGCAAACTTTCTGCCTCTCAGAAAATCTGAGATCCTCGGGAATAAAAGTATGCTTTTCCACCTGTATTCCTCACAAAGCAGTGATATCTGTGACTAGACGCTGATTGGGGAAATCCAGGCAAGGGATAACATGCAAATGAGAACATGATTCAGTGGTGGGAAAAATACAGACAAACACCAGGTGCCTCAAAGGCTGAATCACAAACAAGACAGTGAAAAAATCTAAGAATGCAAGAGATGATGGAGGAGCTTGACTTGGCATTTATCTGTTTATTCCAACAGGATATGCAGATTCCACCCTTCTGACATCACTGCCTCATCACTGCCTCATGACACAACCCCTCTCCACAGCACTGAGTCAGCACCACTGTGTGATCTCCTCTTGGCAATGCAAGATGGGGTGAAAGGCTCCCCATAATGGTGAAAGCATAGAGGGACCTCTAGACAGGTTGCCAAAGGGATTAAAAAACTCATGGTCATCTTATGGGCACCCCTCCCAGGAAATAATATGGGCTCAGAAAAATTTACTGCACAGTAACACACCAGTGTTCTATGGGAGTGCTCTCACAGCAGATGAAACAATAATTCATACTGTGTGTTCAAATGAAGGAGCAAAGAACACTTGCACTTCACTCCTGGAGCCCCCAAAAAGCTGCAAAGTATATTTTCCCCTGTAACTAACAGGTACAGACTGATTATGCTTGCTGTACTTTTCTAGAGGCCTGGACTGAGAGAATATTTCTTAAAGCATCCCTGGAAGTGTCCAAGGCCAGGTTGGACCAGCCTGGCCTAGTGGGTGGTGCCCTTGCACATGAAGAGGGGTCTGGAACCAGATGAATTTAACGTCCCTTCCAACCCAAACTATTCTTTGATTCTGTGAATGTATCACGCACATGGAGTGCTAATCCTCCTCTCCCCCAAACAAACAAAAGCTGTTTCCTATTTTGGAAAAAAAGCCCAGAACAAAACAATCAAATGGAAAGAATCTGAAATACTCATAATAATGGTTGACTTTCAAGAGGCAATGTAAAGAACAGCTTTATGTTAGAAGAAATTCAGCCACATGAAAACTAAAATATTGGGCCACTACCCCCAAGTCTGATCTTAAACAGTCCCCAAGTCTCTAAACACACCCCTGAAAACATCCTGTGCTGCACCTCAGTGTGTCATTCTGTACAACAGGGCCAGATTTTCTTCCTGGAAAACCAGGTCCAGAGGCCAGAAGGCTCTTGTTGTATTTGCACATACTAGTCCCTTTTGTTGGGGGATTTAGGTCACAAGAGTGTAGGAAAGGCAGCTCTGAATCACCTGGCTCTTGCACGTGTTGTGCAAAGGCTTCTGAACTCAACCTCCTTTCAAGACACACCCTTTGTTTGTTACTTTCTCTTAGGGCTTTTTCGCAACCCCATCCACTGCCAACACAAACAAGGTTGCAACATCTCCCTCCAGTCTGTCTTCCTCTGCTCTGCTCTAAATGTCAGCCAGCCTCATAGCGCTGCTCACTTGCTTAACTGGGCAAAATACCTGCTGTGGCAGCCCTGTGCCTGGACTGCCTCCGGGAGAAAGTTTCTTGGGAATGGTAAGTGACGGAGCCTGCAATTCGCTCTTAGTCACGTTGATAGCAGATACCGAGAGCCTTGCGCAGGTAGGACACGCGGCTGGCTTTGCTGAGCAGCCATCAAGCATCTAGAAGGACCAGGGCAGGCTAAGAAGAGTAATTATCAGGGATCACAGCGGCTACTAGAAGCTGTTTCTGCAACTGCGGCGCTTTCTACTTCGCTGCAGTGTTGTACCCTGTGCATAGAGAGCAGGGGAGAGAAGTTGCTGCCGTTTGAATGTCATTTATGGGTGTGAAACAAATTGTGGGACCTACTTCCACTCCTAATATTTGGGGTAACTAGAGTAGCTCCCTTCTTACTAAAGGGGCACCACAACAAACACGCTGTGAGTACTGTCTGTAAGCAGGTAGGAAACACAGGCACTCTGGAGACCCTCTTTATTCCCACCTCTTGTCCACAGTAGAAAGTAGATATCTATGTCCACTGAACAGAGGATATCTAGCTAGCCAAGGAAAATGAAGATTGCTTGGTGCCTAAACTCAGCTCTTCCACACAGCCATCACAGCACAGCTGTCCCAGGACTCTCACAGACGGTGGAATACAGGTCTGCCTCTGTCCATGTTCTTGGCACTCCTGCTCGCTCAGATAGAGCTGTTCTGTGCGTGGGATGGGACAGCATCCTGTTCTCCTCCGTGCTGGACTGTCCTCAGCCCCGAGCTGCCCAGGGTGGCACGCCAGGAGCCGGGCTGTGGGCGATGCTGCTCACGGATGGAGGCGGCGGCTTTTATCAGCAGCCTTCATCAGGGGGATTTTCTCTTATTTCATTCTCAAGCTTCCTTCAGCCTTGGATTTGCATAAGATCCTGGGCTAGGACTAATCTGATCCCAGGTTGGGAACATTGCATCAGGCCCAGAAAATCCTCCATGTCTGTCTCTGGTTGGGGTGTGTTGGCACTGGAAAACAGAACCGTGCAGGGACAAATGGCAGCTTGAATTTTCCTTAGTAATAGGAGGTGCCTGGCTTTGTATCTCATTTAAATTCCTGTGCTATGTGGCAACTCCCAGTCAAGTTTCTATTTGTTTACAGCCCTTGTAGCCAGGTGCTTTCCATGTTCACTCCAGGTTGCTGAAACAAGAAGCATGTCCAGCCTCCAGGGCTAATAAGAGCACATTGTCCTTGGTGGCAAGAGGGAGCACCTTGCTTTATCTATGCATTTCCTGGTAAGCAGCAGTGGAGGAGAAAGAGACATGTCTCACTGCCCAGGCGAGAGCATGAATTCAAGTCTCAGAATGTAAATAAATATGTGGCCATTGAGTTGGAGGAGTTACAGGTGACAGGTTGCAAGTGTAGCCATGGCACCTCCTGAAGGGTTGCTCACTGTGGGCATATGGCTGATTGGCTTTCCCAGGTCCCATTGGATTAAATTCATGAACACACTTAGGAAAGTGGGGGTTTCTCTTAAGGTTTTCACTCGACAGAAGAGTTGAGGAATAGTAGTGCCAAGTGTCTGATATAGCAATCACCATCTGTCTTGCTCACCTTTCCATCACTGCTTTATGGCCAAGAAGATAGCCTGAGCTCTGTCTTTGCTGCCAGATTCACTTGCTTCAAGAACAATTTGGCATCCTGACCTGGAGCTGTTTTCTTTAATAAAATATAGACAGGCATGTCCTCCTGTAGGAGGTACTATGAGCATGGGGCTGTGATTGACACTGGGGTACAGGCTGCCCATGGCCCCAGACCCCTCAAGACAGTGCTGACCTGCTGTAACACATTGATTATCTCACTGCAATATTTAAAAATATATACTTCCTGCTAAAAATGGTGTTCTTCACTCAATCTGGATCTGTCTCTGTCATTTCATTGTCCAGTCCCTAGCAAGCCAAATCATTCTACAATCTCTGAAACTGAAGACACAAAATCACCAATGGAACGGTGCTGACTGGGTGAGAGGTGCAAAGAAATCAGCTCTCCACTCCACAAGCCATCCTCCAGCTCATAACTGGTACAAGTGGGTGCCTCCTTGGCAGTTCAATCTGTCCCCTTGTCTGGAAATGTTTTTTTCTGATATTAGAGTATACACAGGCTCAGCCCAGATGCCAATCATGAAACTAAATGTGCAGTTGTAATGATGGGCAAAAACTGCAGTGCTTTGTTTTATTTGAACAATGACCAAAAGTCAAGATATCCTGTTTAGAACATTAAAAAGTTCTGTACTTTGTCCATTTACAAGCGACACAGCGGCTCTGCCTCATACCAGAATGTCTATTCCCTAACACTACATGTATTGGAATAATAGGAAAAGAAAAACAATTGCAATTTTCTTTTTCTTTTGGGGGGTGGGGGTGGTGTTTAAAGTTTACATTTTACTCTTAAGTCTATAAATCTTTTGGTTCTGGTAGGAGCTGTGTGACTTTATTACTGAGATTGGCTTTCTGCACAGGCCTTCAGTAGGGGATTTTACTCCATTGAGAAGTTTTCTGTTTTGTTTGGGGATGTTTTTGTCCTGGTGACAATTTTGGGTTGTGCCAAGCCTCCACGTGAACATCTCAGTTACACAGCTGCAGCCCCACCTTTCCCACAGAAACACCGAGAGCATTCCTCCCCCTCACAGACAAAGAGAGCAAGCTCTTTGCCCAGAATAATAGAGGCTTTCCTGGTAGCAAATACCTATTCCTGTAGTCACCCAAAGGAGAAGACATGTTGGTGACAAGTATTTTCCTTCTTTTTTTCTTTTTTTTTGTTCTTTCCATAGGGAAGAATATTAATTCCTACCCAAATTCTGTTTGGGCATTTTTGTTTGTTTGGTGTCTTGGGGGTTTTTTTGGTTGGTTGGTTGGTTTTTTTGGCATTTTGATGTTCCCTTTCCTGCAAAGCTGGCTCATGAAGCTGTGTCCCAAGCTGTCTGCAGTGTGGCTTTGCAGTGTTGTGGACAGGGAGCTGGCCCAGGTAGCTGCCCCATACCACACACTCTTGTACCACTGAGCAAGAGAAGTCAATGAAGAGAAAAGTCTGACAGTTTGACAGCTGTAGGAAAATGACTGTGTATGATGATTAATAAATAGAGAATATTTATGAATGCCTTCCCTCTGAGAATCAGGCTAATAGCAATTATACTTTTTAAAATCCTATCTATAAAGTCATCTACATTTAGGTAAACAGAGTCATAGAGATTTTTCTGTTGGCATAAACACAAGGCAGAGTCCCAGCTCTCAGTCTTTACTTCAGACTCCTGGATGCCAACCTTCCTTCTCCGTGAGGACAAAAAGAGAAACTGGCTCCAGAAAATATAGTCAGTGTTTACATTTTATTGAACCACTAGACATTGCTGTTGGCCACATCATGAAAACAGTGCAGCAAAGAGAGCCTTTCATTTGCCTGTGCTTGGCAGAAAGTGTCGTTCTTTGGTTACTCAGCTGAAGTTGACAAGTTGCCCAGTATTTTTATTATCAGGTTGTCAGCTCAATCTCACTACTGCCCTCTTAATTTATTATTTTGTATTTCAAAATCACAGGTGTGACTCATTGCACAGCCAGAGGTTATAATGAAGTATCCCACTCATCCTTTAGCTCACCCTTTGTTCAAGACAATGCAGATTGCAGAAGGTTTCTGAGGAGGTAAGAGGATTGCAAAAGAGTCGAAGACTCCTCTTTTATCTAACCTATGTGTGGGCAGTGAAACTGCCTGATATGAAACCAGTTGGGTGCAAAGGTGGGCATGGAGGTTCATTTGTCATTGTGTCGAGGGTTGAAACTCAGAAGATACAGCAGCTGTCATTAAAGATAGGCACCCAAACTTAAATCACCTCACCCCGAGGGTGAATCCAGATAGACAGTCCTAGGATAACACACTTCTCCCAAGATTTCCTCTATGTTTTAGTTTCCAACAGGACAGAAGATGACAACCAAGCAGGCATTTTTCAATTTTAAAAAATCTTATTCCCTGCATTTTATGATTTAAATCTGGAAGTGACTCTAAGTACAAGATTTTGCCAGCATTGTGCAAATATTAATCCTGTGGCATTAGAGTTTTTGAAATATAAATATATGATTCTTAGCATAAAGTGACGTATCATCCATGTTTCTCCTAGGAGTACCTGGGATAAGTTGCTGGGAAGAAGGAAGAAGGAGCACAGTTCTATTGGAAAGAATGTCTTGATGCTGATTATTAAAATGACGTGGAAGTCATGGGCTGAATTAAATATTTTTCCGTGGTGGAAAATTGATGGGAAAGCTTCCTGGTATCAACAGCTCATGTGAAACAGAGGAAGAGATCCTTTTATCACAGAAGAAGAGTGTCAAAATCCAGAGCTATTCTGAATCAATTTGCTCTTTTAATTGTCTTGTGCAGACGTCTGTCTCTGTAGCAGAAATGCTGAGTTCGTGCTACATGAAAACAAACCACATAAACCTGAGGAGATACAAACATAATTTGTTCCTAAGAGAAGTAGTTACAAAGCCACACACCTCAGTGTCCTGGCAACTCATTCCCTGCCCAGGGGGAAGGATCCATGTCCGATGTCCAGTCTGAGTACCCTGGGGCAGTGGCAGCCAGGGACAGAACTATTGGGGTACTTGGCTTTTTTAAACCTGCAACATGGAGCTGTGGCAATGCCAAAAGTGCCCCTGGCCTGCTCTGTCTCATTGCTGGGGGCCAGGAACTGTGACTCAAAGGCTGTCCACTGGCAACACAGAAAACTACACCAAGAGCACTGGTTCAGCTCTGCCGTATCCAATTTCTGTCAAGTATAGAATAATAGCTATCCAGCGAGCTGGGACATGCTCCACCAGCATCAATAGGGTTGTGCTTCAGAGCATCCCTCGAGGTAGCAAAGAATTATCCCCATTTTATAAATGAGGTAACTCAGGCACAGGGATTAAAGCCAGAATGTTCCAAGCTGGCTGCCTACTGCTAGGTACCTACACCCATATTTACGCAACTCGTGGCCTGATTTTCAGAAGGGCAGGGCAATGAAAATTTTGGCCTGAGGGGTTTGTTCACACACAGTTTACTGGTAACAACGCCCAGGATGGAAGCCTGGTCTCTGCTACCTGTCTTACGCTTAACCACTGAAAACATCCTTTCTACCACTAGCCAAGAGTTGGTGAAGGCTCCTGAGTGTCCCCATTTGCCATGCACAGGTTCAGAGTTAGCAATGCAGACTGCCTGCCTACGTGCTCTCAGCTAGAGACTTTTAAAGAGCAACAGCAGGAGTAAAACTGGTGAGATTTCTTTGCTTGCTCCTCAGCTCTTCAGAGCCCAGGCAGCTTTGCTCAAACAGCAGGTCTGGTGTGTAAACCTCTGTTCTGCCTCACACATGGCATCATCTTTCCCCTCTGTCCCTTCACCGTGTCCTGCTTAGGATACCTCAGCCTGGCAGAGCACAGATCCAGTGCAGAACCAGTAACAGACCAGTAAGAGAAGGGAGAAAACTGGCCAGATGGATATCTGAACTGCTCAAAAGCACAAGCACCAACAGGAGCCAGTTAATCACAGTGCCCCCTCACCTCTCATCTGCACTCTCTTTCTGGTCTTTAACTGAGCCTCAGAAATAGCCCTGATTTATTGGAAATTCTTGAGAAGCAAGAAAATGTAGTAAAAAAAACCTACTTCCATGCTATCAACTAGCAAAACCCAGGAGGCAGAGCACTTGCTGGCTGGTTACAATAGAGCTTTGCAAGTGTCCCTACTAAAATCAGCCCTGCTAGGGGCTAATGTGACGCTTGTCTTAGCTTGTTAGAGAGCCTTGCTGTCTTTAGACACGTACTTGAAAAACAGCACTGGTGGTTGGTTGCTACCTGAGGGAAGAAGGACAAAGGATCTCGGCTGTCTCTGTGGAATGGTCACTGCTCAGGTCACCTCAAGCCTGACCTGCAATACCAAGTGCATGCTGCAAATCCATTGCTGTCAGCCCTTGTGCTTTGTCTCATCTACGGAGTCCCAGCCACCTCTGACCTCTTCTTTCCCTTCCTTCAGGCCATGTCCTGCCCACGAGGCTCCTGCTCAGCTGCTCTGCAGCTTCCCCCACCCTGCGGGAGGACAGGGGACAGGAGGTGACAACCTTCAGCAAAGGTTAAGGCTGGAAAAGAAGGAAGTGTCAGCTCAATCAGGGCAGCTCAGCCAACCAACTGCTGCTGTAATCCCTCTGCCTCAGGTGCCTGTGCTGCTCTGTTTGTGCTCTGAATGCTACTGTACGAGCAGCAACCCCATGGTACTGTCAGCCCGCAGCATCCAGACAGGGAGATGAGGAAGAGGGGTAAGGAGGAAGCAGCTGATCATGAGAATCTCCCAGAACTGTTTCCAGATCATTCTTTGCAGTGTGTTTTGGGAGCATGGATTTTACTCCTACTGAAGTTCAAAAGTCCAGACTTTGCACCTTCTGATTTCTCCAGAAGAAGGCTGAGAGCTAGATCTGAATCAATTCTTATGCTGGAGATATCTCCATATTCACAGCAAACCCTTTGAGAATCTGGCAGTGACACGGTCCCAGCTCCTTCTGCCCAGGCCTGAGGTGCCTCTTTCAGGATGGGAGCAACTGAGTCTCACCAATCTGTCAGCATCCAGGAGGAAGCTGGGGAACAAATGCCTCCTATTCAATGAAAGTTGGTGCTGCATTTTATATTGCAGTCAGTGCATTATTCTGTGGTGAAAACAAACCCTATTCTTCTCTGCCAGATAAACACACTTTATCCTGTAAAGAGCAGCATTTCTGACTGTTCAGCAGCAGCCAAACTCACGATGGGAAAAATAACAGGTGTTTGTAAGACACTCCCTGTTTATTCACAGTGCTTAAAATAATTGCTTAAAAAAATCCAACAGAGATTTAATTTTCTATGCTCCCACATTTAAAAAAACAAAAACAAAAAACCCCCTAAGCTTGGCTCATAGTAGTTGAAGGCAATTCATTATGAAAGGGGTGTTCTTTCTGTTGTGGTAGCAAAGAAACCTGCTTATGAAAGCTCCTGAGGAGCAGAAGAGTAAAGCAAATTCCTGCCTAGAACCAACACTTCCCTGTGCTTTTCATCAAGCTCTCCAGGTGGAAGCTTTTATTATCAAAACATGTGATTTTATTGTCAAAACGGGATGAGCAGGGATTAAGCTCCCCCAGTGGGTGCCCATCATTGACCATCTCCAGCACTGCCTTTTATAAGGCAACAATGGCCTTGGGCTGGCCCTTCCCTCCTGTTCTGGTGGTGGAACAGGAGGTAAGTGCACTGCTTCGGGGGGAAAAGTGTGTCTCAGAGGCACCAACCTTTCTTCAATCACTGCTTGCTTCTCCGGGAAATAACTGGCAGTGGATCTTGATCAATAGACAGCTTTCCAGAGCAATGGGCTGACACACGGTGCTGGAGGAAGAGGACAGAGACTCCCTGTCTCCATCTGCTCTCCCCATCTTTGCTTATAGCACAAATGGGAGACATCCCTGAGCCACCCAGAGGATGAGGGGACACTCAGTGCATGGCTGCTGCCAGAATTTGGTCCTTGTGGTGGTGACTAGGTCACAGATAAAGTCCCTGCAGGAGCCACTCATGAGAATGCAGCATCATTCCTGTGGGCTACAAGCTTCATGAGACATCAGCTGTGGTGGTCCTCTGCCCTCAGGACTTTCCCTTCCTACAGGGTATGGCTCTCCTTGATTCTGGCCCCCTGCAAGCTGTTGGGATAAGTCACAGATGCTCAGTAGCTCCCTGAGAGCCTGGAAAGAACCTGGAGCAATAGGAGCCCACCTAGCAGCACCCCAGTGCTGTCCCAGCCCCCAGGTGCTGCTCCTGGTGGCTCCTGGACTGCCACCCAGGCCACAGCTGGATGCAGACACAGCCTAATCCCTGCCTCCAACACGGGACAGAGACATCCCTGATGCTGGCAGAAAAAACACAGCCACGTTTTAGACTTTACTGTTCCCACAGAGGCGCAGGAAGGGTTACACAACCCAAACCATCTCCCTGGGAGGGCTCACCTGTCTCTTAGCAGTGGACAGAGACAGGCAGAAGGTTTGTGCAGAGCAGGGGCTGAGCAGGGCTCCTGTCTGTGCTGCGGCCGCGTTCCCAGCTGGGACCGGGCTGTCCTGGCACCGCCGCGCCTGTCACACCCCGCAGCCGCTGGTGAGCAAAAGAGACCGGTGAAAGCCAGAGGAAGGAGCAGAGCCCCAGGGGAGAGCAGCATTTCCCCGGGGCCAGGCAGGAGCGTGGCGTGGCTCGGCTGGGGCTCGGCACGGTGGCACTGCCACCCGGGCTGCAGGCGGCGGGTCCCGCTGCCAGGGGCTCCTCCAGCAGCCACCGGGATGGGGCAGGGCAGCTCCCAAAGGCCATCCCCACAGGCAGAGGGGAGGAGATGAAAGAAGGCGGCTGCAGGGCGAGATGAAAGCGTTCAGCGGCCGGAGGAGCAGAGCGGGCAGTGACTCAAAAAGCAGAGCCAGAGGCAGCGACCGGCGCTGGACACAAAGGAGCGCTGCAGAAAAGGTCCGAGAGCAGCCCAGAGATCAAACCCATCCCCAGCCCAGCCAGACTGAAAGAGTCGGAGCAATAAAGGATCTCACACTGCTCCGGTGCCGGCAGCTCGAGGCCTGCGGGGCAAGGCAGGGCTTTATGCACACAAATGAAGAACAACCAAGTCCTCTGCAGCAGCTGCATGGCCTGGGCAAAAAGCACAGAGAGGGGAAGGATGGGATGAGATAGGATGAATAGAATAAAATAAGGAATAGAATAAAATAAGGAATAGAATAAAATAAGGAATAGAATAGAATAGAATAGAATAGAATAGAATAGAATAGAATAGAATAGAATAGAATAGAATAGAATAGAATAGAATAGAATAGGCTGGAAAGGTCCTCTAATATCAAGTTCAACCATTAACCTGACACGGCCACTAAACCATGTCCCTGAGCACCACACCTATGCATTTTCTGATCACTTTGCAGGGAAGTCCCTGAGCACCACACCTATGCATTTTCTGATCACTTTGCAGGAAAGTGATTCCACTACTTCCCTGGACAGCCTGTTTCAATGTTTGACAACCATTTCAGTGAAGAAACCTTTCTTGCTATCCAGTCTAAACCTCCCCTGGGGCAACTAGAAGTAATTTCCTCTTGAACTATTATATGTCACCTGGGAGAAAAGATTGACCCCCGCCTGTCTACAACATCCAGTAGTTGTAGGGAGCAATAAAGATCCCCCCCAAAATTCCTTTCCTTCAGACTAAACAACCCCAGCTCCATCAGCTGCTCCTCCTTAGACTTGTACTCCAGTAAGACAAGTGCTTCTCCAATCAACAAGAAGCAGAAAATGCCCTTTCTTAGGCAGGGTCTTACAGAAAATAATCAAGAAGCAAAGCCTGTACCTTTGTTTTGATGCCCATCATGCACCAAAACCCATGAAACCTTATTCAAGAAGGTAAAC